AATCAAAGTCACGCTTAATATTTGATCCAAATTTGAAATATAATCCATGATTTACTTTAGAAATGGCTTTAAAGCAGTCAATTATATACAAGTGATAATTGCATGGACCAAACGCCGCATCTCTAAAAGGTAGGAAATGGGGCCCATTGTTGGCCATTAACTTCGAGTAAACCTCTTCGGGTGACGCCTTCAAGTTGATGATCTGCATACCAAACAGACATTGCTTTTGAAACACTATTTATTGATTGTGGTATTATTAGAAAGACATACACAATACGATCCAATGAGATATGCGGCGTTCACTCGCTTTTTGCATTCAGTGGTCGTGTAGTGAACTATTTTCTTCTTATTTGACTGTTATATCAATTTATACATACATTAGATATGTTTGAAATATGGTTTAAATTTTATATAATACACCATCTAGTTATATTGTATTATAATTAGAATGTATTTTCATTCATGTCATTTTATCTAAAATCTGATATAACTAAAAATAATAAACATAATTTTAGTTAACAGGCTAAAAATATATCCAATTAAGTTTTGAAATACAGTTTAACACTACTTTATATTTTAAGAGATACTGTAACATGATAAGATCTCGCAAGAATTGTTTTGCATATTTTCAATACTTTAGTTACTGTACTGCATACCAAATATACAAATTCCTGAACAACAAGAGATGTTACTGTATCTAGAAATTCAATTTATATTTAAATTATAAGAATATAAATTAACTAAATAATTGCATCAATATAGAATTGTCATACATCAGAATCCAATGTAGAATCTACTGTATATCTATGGTAATAAATAATACTAAATTACAGTATATGTAATCATATTTTATATTAAAAGCAATGCAATGTCCAAAAGTGGACCATTCATAGAAAACAACTTTAGAGTTTTGTTCACAAAATATGCTAAACTGTGTTACAGTTTGCCAAATAATAGTGAATCAAATTGAGGCCACAAACTATATAGACTAACACTTCCGTTATTAGTTACAATTGATATGCAAAATAGAGATCAACAGTAAAAGTGTTTGCAGTGATCAACAAATAATTGACTAACAATTGTATTTCATTAAAAAATGCAAAACACAATCACTGCCAAAGTGTGCAAATAATGATCAAAACGGCTATAAATCATGGCATGAATTAATTGCGAAATCATATTCAGTAATAGTCTGCGAGTGGAGACCTTGACTGGAGGTCACACCTACACCATTGGCGTTCCCATACACTGGACGCACAACTCTTTGCCATACAATCAATATAATGACACAATTGTGTGGGTTTTCAATGAAACTACTTTTGAACAAATAAGCACTTCATTAGCTTTCATTCAATTCATGGCATCTCTACATATAGTATATGCCAATCATCACTATTTGTTTAACATTTATTTCAATGCAATTAACTCTAAAACAAAGAATAAGCACTAAAAACAAGCAATTGATTCATACCTTAAGAAGTTTATTGAGTTTAAGACAATATCTATAGAGCATCGCCTCATTCAGGGGCCCGAAGTCCGCATCAAATCTGTAGACATTTGACAAGTTATAAGACATTTGTTACTCATTTCAATGCAAACTATAATACCCTTCGTATACGAGTTGGTCATCAATACTGAAGTAAGTGATCATTGAATCCGATTTAGTCTTCAAAGGGTTCACGAGTCCGGGCTTAACGGTCGCCAAATAGAGTCGACCTAAACATAGACACAACACATCATAGCATATGATACGAGCCCTCAATCATGTGAACCAACCTCTGCTCAGTTCTGCCAAATGGAGTAAACCCGGGATCACATCCTTCAGGTCCTTCACACCACGTCTCGAGTGCTCCTCCATTGCAGACATCGATGTATTCGCGGATTAGACACACATTTGACACACTTTTAGTCCATACATCACACCATTTCACCACTTAATCCATGAATGAGTCCTATTACGAGCCAAATGTCACACAAATGGCATTCATATAGCGATGGTAGTGATGGCAATGACAGCACACGTCAAGACATGCGATGGAGAGACCAAATAAACGGATCTATGGTTGCAGACAATTGTCAAGTATTTTACAGTTTTAACCGTTTATTACAAACATCACGAATAGACTCACAATTGGCTCCCATTTGTGCGTACTTTCAATGAGTCAACACTCACTGCACTGCCATCTGT